GACGAGCCTTCTATAATTGTGCCAGCACTACGCAGCGTAGGAAATATCGTAACCGGTACTGATCTGCAGGTGAGTGCAATTTTGAGTGTGTTTGGTTTATCATGCACCATATATGTATGTATTTATATGCAGAGAACTTCAATGTGAATACATTCGTATTCGCGTATGTGTTTACGCTTATTGAAACATTAATGCACATTCGGAGGTGCAGCTAAACAGAATTACGTGTGATTTAGGATTAAAATGCAAAACGAACCGGCTGCACCAACAATAAGTGCTAGTATCCGTGTGTCAGTTAAGCAGACTTTAGCTACATTTATATTTGTTTCCCTCTCTACAGCGCTGGTCTTATGCACATATAAAATTTTCGGTAACAAACACTATTTGTGTAGTAGAGAATTATACGTCTGTTGGTTGGTCGCAATCACTTGCTGTTATGCACGCCACAACTTACCTTCGCTCCCTTTAGCCTCTTAAAGCTTGGTGGCCGAGTTTTTGCATAACTATGTGTAAATTTGCATATGAATTCAAAGCTGGCGTCGATTACTTGACACAGATCCGCATTAAAATTGCGAGAAAGTAAGCTGGGGGTGGTGGCACTCAGGCAACCTGCTAGTACTTAACTAGCTAATGAAGGCATGGTGGTGGTGTTGCGTCTGTGTGCCATGAGTTCTTGCTATTAGCTGAGTGTATGTGTGTGTGTGTTTGGCATTGATGTTGCTTCCGCTGCTGCATAATCTGCACATTTCACAAATGGAAAATGAATATTTACGAATTTCCACTTTGGATTCCGGGATTAGCATGTTGATGAAGGTAGTACTAACAGTGCTGCACAGGTTTGGGGGCTATAACGATGGAATTTTTTGCTTGGCTAGTGGAATTGTACTGCGAAAGCGTTTTAGAGAAAGTACAGCAGCCATTCTTTCGGTGTTTACTCAATTCATCATATAGGTATAGTATACGAGTAGTGCACGTGGAAATATATAGTATTTTTATTAGAAAACTTAACTTTTTTTTTATTCTGTATACACGTTTTATGCGTAGAGCGGAGAAGCTCTGTAAAAATTTTCTAAGCGGCTCAAATTCATTTTTAACAAAAATTATCTCTAAATATAATATCACAAAACCTTACGACATATTCATTTACTAGCAAATCCGGTAAAGACTTAAGCAATGCTTTTTATATACATACCACTCCTTCACCACACTTAATTCTTTTTTCAAAAAAAATCTTGCCACGAGCTAAAGTGTCACTTCGGCCTTTCAATTTGCAAAAATTACTTTGCTCATTGCTTATTTACGCCGCATTGTAACTTTTCTGGCGCTGTTGTTTTAAGCCTCCAATTCACAGCAACATTTTTATCTTAATTTTTATTTATTTGCATACCTTTGTTTTTTTTTTGGTTTCACCGAATTTCATTTGCATATTTGCTACTATATTTGTACTAAAAATATCAGTATACATACGCACATACGCATATACAATTTAATTTTCCTCGCCTTATTCTTTTATTTTCATTTCCTGTTTTTATTTTTTAATTTTTTGGTCGCCTGCCAATACCTGCGTGAAATTTAATTCCAACTGCCCTGTCACCAACAATTCAACCCTCTAGACGGACGCAGTCATTGCTGCTGGCGGTTTACCCCGATTGGGTGTGCTGCTGCAACATCCAAAATGTAATATTGTGAAGGAGGCCGCCTGGACGGTTAGTAATATCACAGCCGGAAATCCGAAGCAGATTCAGGCCGTTATCGATGCTGGTAAGTTTGTATTTGTGTTTAAATTTTATTTTTCTTTCTTCTCTGTTTACGCTTTGCTTTGTTTTTGCTACTTTTCTTATTTATGTTGTGCTTGTAAGCGCTTTTTTAGAGTGAGGGAGTGGAATGCGAGGTTTTTATTTGCCATTCTAGTGGGTGGTTAGTTGCTTAGCTGAATAGCAGATGAGGAATTGTTGATTTCATCAAACTGTTAGTTACGGCCGTTGCCCAAATGGTTTGTAAACTCTTGGAAGTATGCACATACACACTTACATTGGAATACGTTTGCGCGGTCTGCTTACCGGTTAATTTGGAAAGGAAGAGTAATGAAAAATAAACTTGGTCATAGTTGTGTCTAAATATTTGTATGAAAGAAAATAGAGCACATCAACGGTAATGAATAGTTGCAGCGTAGACAAGAATTTAATTAAGTAATTTAATTTTTTTTGCTAATACAATTTTAAATATGCGAAAAAGAGTGCTCTACATCGCGAATTAAAAAGGAAAAGAAAATTGTAACAGAGTGGTACGAAATTATCACAAATATGGCGGCATTCAACGTTGATTTTTTAAAGTAGGACATCATTGCATTTGGCAATATTTTATGTGAATAATTTTCATAACTTTTTTTAATATAGGTAATCAGGTCAAAATTAATATATTCTGAAATGGGTCTTTGATATATACATATGTATTTATCTCGGATTATTGCTTGTATTGCATAGGAAGGATGAACACTCCCAAACTTCAACTAAAATGTTACCTTAATATTATATAAAAACCACGGGAGGATAATTGTAGAAATTTCACTCGGAATTATAAGCTATTAATTTGGAAATATATTCTAAAATAATATTAAATTAATTTAATACATTTACTTAATGCTTTTTTTTAACTTATCCTTATAAATTTTTTCCAAATAACTCCAGGTCTTTTCACACCCATTCGAAATGTCTTGGAGAAGGGCGATTTCAAATCGCAAAAAGAAGCCGCCTGGGCCGTTACAAATACCACAACGAGTGGCACACCTGAACAAATAATCGATCTGATTGAAAAATATCAAATATTGAAGCCATTCTGTGATTTACTCGACGCAAAGGATCCGCGCACGGTTAAAGTGGTACTCATGGGACTCGGTAATTTGTTTGTTTTGGCTGAAAAGTTGGGCGGCACCGAAAATCTATGCTTGATGGTCGAGGAGATGGGCGGTTTGGATAAACTGGAGAAGCTGCAAGAGCATGAAAACGAGGAAATATACAAGAAGGCCTTCGCACTGGTGGATACATACTTCAATAGCGGCGAGGACGCTGAAGCGGAGCTGGCGCCACAAGAGGTTAATGGTGCGCTCGAATTTAATGCTGGCCATTCGAATGCACCCGAGGGTGGTTACACGTTTTAGTTGCCTAGCCGTCGCACCAGCGTAAGGTGTATTGTGTGGTGTGCGTGTGTGCAACCTTCCAGTCGGCTGAATCATTGCGTAAAGTGTTTGTATGTGTGCTGTATCGCATATTTCTGCCGCGCATTACTTGTTATTGCATATAATCGTCGGTTTTTGTTTTTCATTCAATACAAGTAACACATGCGAGCACAAGGAATCATAAACATTTCTAATGATTCTTCCAGCGGCTTGTATTGTCGCACGCATATCCATAATTTGTAATTAAGTTTTTATGCCCCTCTGCTTACCAAATTCCCACCGTCGCCATGCATGCTCTCATCAATACGATTTACATTTTATATTAATTTTTAATAGTTACGCGCACATACTAATTTTATTCAGATATTTTATTTTTTTTTCTTTCTAACACATTTGTAAGTCTGATTAAAGTTTGTGTGAATACATATGTCATTTTTTAAAAAAATTTCACCATTATTCCATTAAGATATATATTTTTTTTTATTAATCATTTAAGTTTGCATTGAACATTATGGTTATTGTGCCAAATATTGGGTTGAACTGGCACATAATATTTGTAAAATTACATTTGTATTTACGCACATGCATCTAATAAATCGTTTAGCAGTTAGCAGCAAATATATAACAAAATTGTTTGGTGTTTTTCTTGGTTGCTGAGGTCTCATAAAACTAGCAAGGGTTATAAAAATTATAATAAACTATTTAACATCCTTCAGTTGCTTAATTTGTTTTGATTTCCTGGTTTTATTGAAATAAAAATGCTTTTGAACATGAACATTTTTTTTTAATTTCATTATTTTTTATTTCCATTCCAATTATTGTCTTTTTTATTTTTATCATAATATTTTTTTCATTTTTAT